GAACCCCTGCAGTGGGGACGTAAAAGGGCTGATGGATATGATGCATATAACTTCAATAACTCATGCGAACCGCGATATTTCTATTCATATTGATAGTCCTAGTGCTAAAAAAAAAACAACAACTAAAAACAATACTAAAATACTTACTTTTCTATTATCCTGAGAGTTTGTTACAAAACCTGAGTCTATACATCGCTCTGTACATAGTGACGTGAAACAAACTCACTTTCCAAATGAAGGTCTAAATATCGAACTAAATCAACTCTTACGAAGATCATTTCACAAAAACTTCTGTAAGTTCTACAAATATTTAATTATCTTATAATAAAGAACTAGTTTCCCGCCAATTTTTAACTATTGCGTACGAAGAATAAGATTTGGAATTAGGAAAAAAAACATCGAATTTTTTCAATCATAATTTTTGTTTATTTTTACATAAAAATAATACTTTTTTTTATTCAACGTCTAGCAAAAGCAATTACATGATGTGTGGTACACAATTTAAAAAATATTTTGTACTTAATTTAAAATTAAACAATAAACAAACTCATTCGAACAATCTAGAGACGTCGTCATTATCAATTTCACATTTACATTATTTTACTTACAACACAACATGTCACCAATATTGAAATAATTTATAACAGGAATCGTACAAAAAATATTATTTAAAGGGCACTTTAATATTACTTATATTAAAGTTAAAAAATGGAAATCTCTTCATTTATTAATTAAGTTACTAATATAGTTTTATTTGTTAACTTTATCGACGGCGTTTGCGTTTTACATGTCTACTATATTCGAAAAGCGCCATCTAGCGGGGTGTCTATACAACTATGATAATTCCGTTAAGACGACAGTTATGTAAACACAATCAATAAAGTTAAAAAATAAAAAACATACATCGCCGTTGAACATACAATCTCCTTTTTTTTCGATTTTGAAGTAGGTTAAAAACAGCAGGTCTCACTTCAAATACGAATTGTCACAAATATTCGTAATTCGTTCTAAAATAATATTAAAATCTAATGCATTGGGCACATTTTTGCGTGACGTCTAAATCACTCACCTAATAGTATGTCCTAATTGTTTTACATTTGTTCATATACCCCTTTGCTATGATTTCAACAGTGTTATTTAAAAATCGTACTAGATTATTGCACAGGAAAAGTATTTTTATTGAAACTTTTAATAGAAATAATATTTACAACTACATTTAAAAAAAAAAGTATTGAAAGAGATCGATTGAAATCTGAAAGTTTCTACCGATTCATCATAAAATATTTTTTTATACAAATAGAATAAATCCAAACATTATCCTTTTGTCAAAAGCAGAGAAGTCAAGATACTATATTACTTTCTTATGCTAATTTATGAAGTATACACAGCAGCACGACTAGATACTACGATAACCAAATTTTGAACTCTATCCTGTTTGATTCAGGCATGAATTCGATTACATAAGTTTTTGGGTAACAACTGACGTGCTGCCGATTGTACTTTTGACGTAACCAAAAATATCGCTTAGAGTTATCTGTATTAGATAACATTTTATCGTGCAGAAAAATAATCTGTGAACAACTGGACACTGATACAATTGACGATACATTTAAATTCCAAAAAAAATACGTATCATTACAATAATCTGTACATCTCAAAATACAATGACAGATTTTTACATATAAGAATACCAGATAAATAAACATCACAGACAGCAACAAGTACGAAAACTATTATTATGTTCACACTTGAGTCACTATAATATATTTCATTTCATCATTTAAAATAAAGGGCATGATTAATTTTTCAACCTAATAAAATCAAATTTATATTATATCCACTGATACCTTTAAATTTTATTTTCAATCATCAATTATAATTATAATTCAATATACGTTGGCAGTACACAAGTCAACGCCAACGCCACGTTAGTGACGTTCACTCTATTATATCCACCAATCAGTGACGAGGAAGTGAAAACAGATTGGTCAAACAGTCTTTCGTGATTGGTCCATATGTGTTAAAACGACCCGTCAAAGATAAACTGAAAGGTCTTATTTTTTTATTGCATGATTAAATAGTTTATTCATTGAACATACCGCAATTTTAAATACACAATAAACTAAGGATGTCGTCAAATTAATTTTAAGTAGCTGTAATAGTTCTATTATATGTTTATAGCAACTCAACGTGTGAATAGCACCCAGGAACATCACGCTATCAAAGTATTTCGTCAAGCTAAATATTAAATTCAAATAACAATTCAAATTCGTACGAACAACAAATTCAGTCAGGATGGTCATTTAGACAAGCTTGGCCATTTTAAAATGGAAAAACAAATGGCGCTATACTTTTTTAATCTATACATACTCGACAGACAATTATTGAAACCGTCATAGGTACAAAACCGATTATATATCCACTTATAATATGCACTTTACGTAGGTATATAGAATAGAATACAATTCAAGATATAACTTTTATACAGTAATTATTTTTTTTTTTTAGTTTATCTGAATACTCAGTTTCTTATCCATCTTTACAAGCTAAGATTTTATCTATGATAGCAAGATAACCGAATTATATATATTTCGTAACCAATTATACGATCTGGCAACCCTGATTATAAAGAAGACGCTGCAACAACTCTTACACACTGAATCCATTCTGCGGTTATTATTATTGATGCATCCACACTTACGTACGTCATAAGTAAACCACACTTATATGACCTCTGTATTACGGCTATCTGTCTATAACGTACAGTTTGGAGTTTGTCAGAACTGTGTCTGAACATCAAATATGCTGTTTGCATATACTTTAACTATGGACGATTCGTCTAATTTTTCATCATTCTTAGGAACTATAAATCTTGAGTTTGCCAAGTGTTGTTCTTATCATGTTGATCGGAATAGTTTCACTTTACTGAATCATTTCTTAGTGTTATGTTGTGTGACTAACTGTTTAAAATATTATTGGAACAATGATGCATTGAGATTTTCCTTTTTAAAAATGTGGTTTGTGGAACGATGTAAAATAAATAAATTGCTCAGCTATGTAAAATAAATAAAAAGCCCTCGTGTTATGGAAATCTTTATAAAAGGCCGAGGACCACTTGAAAGTGGCTTGGCGTTTTGAAAGCATATGCCTTTTTCATTAAATTGATTGAGATATATTAAAGTTCGAAATGGCAACTTTTTTGCACACCGTACTTTATACAAACGTGTTTCTAGCCCGATATTCTGGCCTTGCCTTCTGATGCTCAGTCTATTTAATTTAAACATAATAATAAAAACATAAATTTGTATTTGATTTAGATTCTGTGTCATTCGCTCGTTCACCCATATTAATATTATAAATCAATTGATGCTACAGTTAGCAGCACCAATTACGTATATCATAAAATCAGCACGTGCATGTCTCGCTTACTAGCTGTCAAAATGTCATATCGAATTTTTATAGATTATGTAAATGCGTCATTTTTCTTATTGTAAATGCGTCATCGGTCATTTTCTAGATCGACAATTGATATAAAACAATGGTCGTTGATCTGAATGTCTAGATAAAGGCTATAGATTTGATACTGTAATAAATAGCACGAAATACTTAAATGTAATGACGTTCTTAAAAGACCAACACTATTGATAACTTGATAATTTCATTTAATATAGAAATACAAACAAAAATATGTCTATAAACTACAATAAATATTTCAATTTCAATATTTTGTTATTGGTCTATTTATTTATTGTATAGAAACACACACACACACACACATATATATATATATATATATTCATATTTTCATATTCATATATATTCCCATATATATATATATAATGTCTATCTTATTTCTTAAGGAATTGTCCTTAGTTGAAAATTAAGTAGCTTAACACACAAGCCGCGTTCTATAATTCTTTTAGTTTAAATTATAAAACATATGACTAATGAAGTAGTTGTCTAATTTCCATGTCACTTAATCCTTTGACAACATTTAATCACTTATTGATCAAACAGTGACAATGCAACCATGCTGTCACTATTTGGGAGTATTTTTAAAACAATTATACAATCTCTATCGTCTACGCATAACAAACATGTCAGTTGAGTACTGTAATTAAAAGGGGCGTGTGCAAAAATATATTAGCTTTTAAAAAAAAAACACAAAAGTACAATTAAAATCCGTCTTTCTGTAATTATGTTTTTTTTTAATATTAAAACAAAGTCTTAAGGCAAGGTATTTAAGTCAATTTTTCCAGGAAGTTATTATCTTGGTCTCTTCTGTGGATTTTGTGGTAGTTTTAAAAACGACAGTAAACATACGTAGTGAATATAATTTAAAAAAAATACCTACAATCGTATGAGTACCAAACTTTCTCGAAAGTCTCGAAAAGTAAAATCTCGAAATTAATTATCATTTAGTCAATTTGACTGTATCTGTAGTTGTAACAAGTTTATCCGAGTCTTTGTATATATGAAAGATAAGAAAAGCAAGGTCTTCACTATCTTAAAAAAAGCAAATCCAAGTATGTATAGTGTAGGTATCAGCTCAATCTCCAACAGACCGTTCCTAGCTTCGTCAGTTAAAACTAGATAATAACAACACTTACTTTCCCTATGTTCGATATTCGTTATCTACACGTTAAAATAACACCTAATTAATAACCACTAAAGTTGACATTCAAAAATGAAATAGTGTCTTGAGCTCATTACGAATTCGAAAGTCAAAATGAGCCTTATTCAAATACGTTCACACTAATACAAATACTTTTGCACAGTCCGTATTATTTCACTACTATTCATTCAGGGTTTCTTTTATATATGCAGAAGAACGCAAGATAGACCACAGAATTTTATAAAAGTAACATCAAATACAATATATCACATTATTACAATGTACCTTCAAAAATTCTGAATATAATTAATATAGAAATCATCTGTTAAAATTTAGTGCTTAGAATCTTACGTAGACTAAAAAATGTCACACGCATTAAGTTCCATCTGTTTGTGCATAAAGAATAAATAAATACATGTATGAATTTTGAGCCACTCCAACGATATTACATAAATTGCTTCCTATAATCATTTCCTTTTCTGAAGTCGGTTAAAATAAGCCAATTTAATAAGCAAGTTAACAATAGTGTTGTCTCCACCACATTAAATGCATTCTCGATTCTTGAGATTAAACTACATCAACAGTTTCTTTTATACAACTATTATACAATATATATATTGTCACTTACACATTACATTACATTAAGACAAGGCTCATTCTCCGGGCCCGATGATCAGAGCACTCACCGCGAAGAACAGGAACACTAAACCACCAATTATGGTAACTGTGGAACAAAAAAATAAGAAATATTAAATTGGTCCTTCGAGCCGGATGCAGAGATTATTATTAAGAGGTCACTCAAGTATTATCTTACGATATCTTAGTTCCAATTGAATACCTCCAGATGGCGAAGTTATAACGAAACATATGAGTTGAGTAAAAGAAAACAATATAAAAATAGATACTATATATAAAAATAGACATGGTACTTTATAACGGAATCAAATTACTTATCAAAGATTCTATAGAATGACTTGACTAAACTAAAAGCTGTTATAATAATCCATACTCATGTACATAGATATGGAAAATTTACTTTATCAGTCGATAACAAAGATTAAAATGCATTATATTAACAATAGTTTTAAAATGGATGTAATTATTAGCATACATGTGTATATTTGTAAGAAAAAAAGTAATCGGTTAGCTAAAATAAGCAAGTACCTCCTCGCCTCTATTTTTATTACGACAAAAAAATTTTACTGAGCACTTTTTTTAATATGAGTACCACTTCGTTTCCTTTTCAATTCATATTTTTGTTAATAAACAAGTTTTATTGTAGCTCTATTAAAGCTTAGTTGATCGGTGACGTAGAAGATAAACGCCGGGTCCCGCGATCGTTGTCGCTAAGCGACTTTTGCAGGGGTCGAGCACGGGATGGGAGACCAAAATAAAATATTATCCCGGGCTCCTCCATGTCTCGATGGAAAAGTCGAGTCGTTGTAGCCAGCTGGCTGCATTTGCAGTCATCAATAAGTCTTAAATCTATATAACTAGAGTAAAAGTAATGTCGTATATACTGACCAGTCCTCACAGATATCTTCTGCGCCACCATCCTGCCGCCGATGACGGCCAGTCCCGTGCACAGCGCGTGGCCCAGCGACCCCCCCACCACGACCCCCACCGCGTCCTCGCGCGTCGCCAGCACCACCGTCGCCAGCTGCGACCGGTCGCCCCATTCCGCCAGGAACGTGAGCGACGCAGCTTGCAGGAATATCTTTATTAAGGCGTTCCGTCTCCTACGCCTGTTCTCAGCTTGACCCTGTTCTAGCATGTCTAGGGTTTCTTCTTTCTCGTCCTGCGAATTTCGGAGGGATTTTAATTTTATCGTAAAGGCACAAAATAGTCCAGTGGGTAATTAGGAGAAAGCAATGTCCATTCCAATAGAATACTGTGTAGTTTTGTTGATAAATACTCTAAAGCAGGGCTCGGCAGCCTAAAACATTACATCAATATAATAGCTAAATTAAAATAGACACTAATAGTGGTATTTACAGCATTTTTTATTTTAATCAAAATTTTTATTGTCATAAGTTTTTATACGACAATATCTAAAACTAAATAACTCAAAAGTATGTTTAGTAATTTGTGGTAGAATTTGAACCGTTATCAGAAAAGATTACCGATCCCTGCCTTAGACTTATGATATTTATGTTGCAAATAATTATGCTAAAAATTGGAAATTTAAATAAAGCCTCGAAACAAAACATCATAAAAGTACAATCATGTTGCATTTCATTACAATCATATATAAAAAATACTTAAAAAATTCAATCTTCTTCCGGTTCATAGAGAATTCAAACCCATAACCGTTTGACGACGAATTTTTAAAGTATTTCTCTTTAAATATAACTTTGTGTAATCTAAATTTATCAAACATTATAAAGAGGTTGCATATTAAAAGTCCTTCAAATATATATTTTAACAAACATGAAACAACATATACATCTGTCTCCGTTACAGTTATCTATGTATATCTACTTACAATGATACCATGTCATGTCATTGACACTAATTCGAATACATATTTGATATACTAAGCAATATACTAATATAAATAAAAGAGAATGTGCGATTTCAACCAGTTTTAACCTTCTTAATTAAATTCTCTACTCTCAATCCTTTGATTATAATAATTGTCGCATTTCGACCTTTAATACACAGGATATGATTTCTAAAAAAAATGTCTCTAGGTAAATATATCAGACTATTTATATTATAATCTGATGCTAGCCAGAATTCGTTAATATATCTATCTATATCTGCTCTTAACTCTTGTGTGCTAGATTTAGTTTAAACAACACCACTAATTATATAACCTACTTGCCATTAAATAGATAAACACTGTTGTCAAGATAAAATAACAAAAATCTCTTGATTTGTTACCTGCCTTTTAGTAATATAATTATATCAAAATTCAAAACATCAACGCCATCTATTGCCAGTACAAAGTAATACCTGGATAATCAAACTTAATGATTTGTGAACCTGGTCCATTTATCTCAGATATTTAATAATTTAAGATTTTAACGTAATTGCATGCAATTTCTATAATACTTATGATACTTATGCATATCTATCGTACATTCACTCATTATGGAGAAATTCTATTATAAATTTATACTCTATCGTAAATGTACTAGAATGAATTATAATTCGCAAACAAAGTAAATGACAACTTAATATTTCAAATATAAATGGATCAAGATGCTTTGAAAACGATTTATTGTGATGATAGCAATAATTTTGAAAGTAATACCAGAAAATTCGGTCAAATAAATTTAATATTTATAATACGTATAAGAATTTCAGACGCCACAGAAATTACTTTAAGTATATACATCTGTCAATCTGGTTACGACTAAAAGTATAATATCGTAATTGGATTTTCAACTCTAACCTCTGCACACTATGGTTTAATGATTTTATACATATTTTTCTGGTATCAACTCCAAAAGCACAAGAATATTCAAATGCTGAATTCCTTTGCATATAAATTTACATAAACAGAAGCCGTCGTTAAGCTTTTTATACGATAATAATAATGATCGGTGCGAAACGGAACGTAAAAAGGAAGCTAGGCTAAAAGAAAAAAAAAACTAAGGTGTCATTCGTACTGCCAGGCAAAATGATATAAGATCACCCGCAACGGTTCGGATTGCGTCGAGGGGCCCGCTTGGGGCTCCTCTGGGGGCCCGGGGGCTCCTGCTTCTAGCGTACTCGAAATTCCAGGGCTTTGGGAACGGTCTGACGTTGGCGAGCCTGTACTCGATGGCCGCGAACGTTCCGTCGCGGGCTCCTGCGCATCATCACGGTTGGATAACCTCCATTTTTGTCTATGGCACGCGCACAACGCGTTATAATGCGTTTGTCGGTGGAACATTGATTACGAAATGCATTTGTCGATAGAACAACGGGTCATAAATGCCCTTCCCCTTTAAGTATAAGGTACTTTCTCACATCTAAATTTAACTAATTCCATAAAATAAAGTTATAAATGAAGAGAAAGTAGGTATAAAAATTATGAACAGATAAGAAAGGAATTCAACATTTGTGCAAAATATATTATCCGCCAATTTTCATTAAATACTGGAAACGGGTGAACATCGAAGGACAAACTACAATCGTTCATCATCGAGATAACATATTCTTAAATAACAATAAACCTGATAATATTAATTCATAGTTTAAAACATAAAACGAGGACTAAAGTTAGTACTCAGTTTATACCGCTGGCCAATGAAATGAAATGAAATCGACAATCACCGAGGGGAAAACTTGAAATCGAGACGTGTTGACTAATTTTTGTTGGATAATGGCTTATACATCTTAAGTTCAAATTTGTTTAGTTGCTTATATACACCCAAAGCTCAACTTTCTCCAATTAAATATAAACTTTTAATTTAAATAAAGTTCCGCATTGGTTGTAGAGATCTGACGGCTTGTAACAACCTCCGATGTGCTTTACGATTACTATAATATATTCAATTCCTCCAATTTATTCTTAACTCTATCCAAAAACATTAAGCTTTGAAATAGAGTGCAGAAATTGACCTATTTGTATAAGCTGATATGCCGTTGACTGTGAACAATATAATATTCTTCTATGTGACGAAAAACGTCTAGTGCAATCTCGTAATGAAAACATTTTTTTGTTACCTCTTCATTTAAAAGGTATACGAGATTAGTTAATTAAGTCAGCAATATACTTAATTTCTTATTCGAAGTTAAATAGAATATATCTCAAAATTTCACTATATTTATTGAACTAGAACTTGTAACTTTTATGTTGCATTTTGCTGAAAATGTTCATTGCACTATACACACAGTTCTTTACAAAAGGGGAAGGGTATTTCATGTTGACAACGGGCAATGCGCCCTTCCCCGATATCTTAGTTTAGTGAGGAGCTTGATTTACCCAAAAACTAAACTCAAAATCTCTGGAAACCGAAAAATATATTATTTATAAACACTTGAATAGCGTGGTGTACGATTGTATAGTTATGTAGCTTTAAAGTGACTCCTTGTGGAAAGGACCTCAGAGGTATGGGCATCGTACGATTAATTAGGATAAACATTAATCTAATCAAATTATGCTATTTCATGACAGAAAAACCAGAAATACGGTGACAATTAGCTTCAGCAACCTCTAATATCTTCCCATGTTATACTTTTTTAGCTTAGCCAACATTATCGGTTTCTAATACATTATAATTCACTGACCTGATCCTCTCTCCTCTTCAATTCACTCTGGACTTCCTCCAACTCCTCCTGGCCCTCGTTCGGGTCCATCTTCCATCCGTCTCTTAGCATTTTCAGACCAAATATCAAGAACAGAGCAGCGCTTATATAGTGTGTGTAGACTCTAGGTATTACTGTAGCTATCCATCCGAAAGCTGCCGATAGTATAGTCATGAATACTAATGCGGATATTGCTCCAGCGAAGACTATTACTCTCGGATGTTTCATGGCCATGATGGCTGCTATGAAGAATGTCTTGTCACCTAACTCTGACACGATAACTACAGAGAGGGAAGCTATGAATCCTTGCCAGAAGCTGCCTTTAATCGCGGACCTCTGAAAAGAAAGGAAAACCAATTTTATTATTAAACCGGTGCTACATTATTGTGTACGGTTGTATTGTGAACTCTTGTATACACGTTATCTCGATATGATTAAATGTTGAAAATATCATTATGAAAAATATACACGCCGATTTCAAGATGTCGCCATCTCCGACGTACCGGGTTCGATTCCCGGTCGGGGTCGGAAAATGAACTTGTCTATATTTTCTCAGGTCTTAAAGTGATTTCGTTGTCTCAGATAGGTACTCCATAATAGGGGGGCCTTAGCTACTCATCTTGGAATCTGAGCAATGTATGTGATGTTTGTTTAAGATTTATATATTAATTAAACGGATTTAAAAATTGAAATCACAAATATTATTTAATTTATTTATATAAACTAAATTGTATAAAACTTAAGTAATATAATTTGGATATTTTTCACCTTTTTAGCCATATTATGACATTTTTCTATAAATCTGAGAACCTATGTAATAATAGGTTAAGTTGTAAATGTGATTCATTCATATTACCTACTTCATCTTTTGTAAATTTGCTAAAATAAAACAGTTTTTGAAGACGATGCTAGAATCATGGCGACCGGGAGCTATCTTTTCATATTTAATATCTATGCAAAGGTAACTAGGGGCTAGTATCATTATGAAATATAAAAAGTATACTTAATTTATATTAATTTTTGACTAAAGAAACAAACACCCAGATCCGTTGTAATCATCATAAAAATAAAGTAACTAATATTAAAGCAAACTAATTTTAAAACTTAACAACAAAAAAAAACAGGTGATGAAGATATAATATAATCTCAGACACACAAAATATGTAGATAGAATTAGCAAATACTTGTGTAGCGAATTACTTTCAGTACGTACACGCGACACTGTTATTTCCTTAACTTTATAGACAAGGAATTAAACATTTAATAATTATTTTGAGTCTTCATTTCGTGTGAACAAAGTTCACGAAGTATGAATTTCTATAACTTTTTAACTTCCGCATCGCAGACCGAACCTTTTTTTTTTTTTTTTTTGTACCCGTTACACCCAGCGCGGGTTTCACGGGTTATGTGAGACTCTCCCTGTGGACCTACTCTAAGAAGAGCCAGACAAGAAACAGGGCATACCCACTAAAACTCAGCGATGTACCTTCACTCGGGTTAGTGGCGATGGAACGGGATCGGGCACCGCTCCGTTCGCCCCATCGCAGACCGAACCTAACGTAAGCTTACCACTGCAGCATCGAGCGTCTCAATATCATATCTCACTTCCGTATTAATTAAACGACGCAACAGTTGACAAATACATATACGGGTGGTTATACAGAGTTCATTATTGTACAAGTTTATACCATTACATAATACGGACACGCCCCATTGTCTCTTATCATAACCGAGTCCTCGTGTTGTCATAACAAAAACAAATTATTATATTGTCTTACTTACTAATTGACGGTAATTGGTTAACTAATTACGGTTGTGTGATGTTAAAAAAATATTATCATCATTGTTTAGTACATTTAATGGCACTTTGGAGATGGATCGATATTTTCAGTATCAACAGATGGCATTAGTAATTAATAAGTTTATATAAAATAAACCAATGTTAATTGGAACACATGTACTTTAGTTTGCGCTAAACCAAATCCATAGTATATTATTTTAATATCTTTACAGTATAAAAGAATGTGGATGTTTCTATATTTAAAAAATATCAAATTACCTATACTCCATTTACTATACCATTAGAAAAAAGAGGATCATAGAAGCAGGAGTGCAAAACATTTTATTATTAAGACAAACTTAAAAAATAAATTGTTATTATAGTTTTGTTATAAACTAACAATTTAATTATTAAACAATATCAAAAAACCTACCCAAAGGTTGAGATTGGGCTGGCACTTTCTGTATATCATTGAAACATTAACAACTTAAAATCATAGCACTCTATGATGAAAAGTTAAACTCATATCTTATTATTACTTTAGGCGTTTTTACTTCTTTCAGGACAATGTATTAGGATTACTTTAATAAACATACAGAATTAACAGGACAAAACTATTGATTTACAACCTTATAATAGACAATCACTTTAGTTCATTTTATTTAAATTTCTTACAAAACAAATAAAACATTATTATAAGTAAAAAGATAATTTGTTTGAATAAATTATCATAACACAACTATTAACAACTTAATCACGGAAAACGGCAAAAACAACGAAAAGTAGCTTTGACAAAGAATGACAATCGCAAATTACGTATTTTGACAAATAAGAATATATAATAATTTGACAAAATTAAAAAGCTGTACTGCAGTAATGTATGAAAGGGATGAGGCAACATTTTAAAATCAGTAGAGTTATAGTGAAATAAGAAACCTGCCGAAACTGTCTACTACTGCTTCTTTAGGATCTTAAAGATAACTTTTTATCTCAATAGATATTATATCATTTAATTTATCCAAATACTCATAAATTTATATGATATATACCGGTAACAGTTAAATACGTAAATAACTTGATATATAGTAAAAATGGCAACAAACAGTAACATATTAATTGATATTTTGTCACAAAATATACCTTCGAAAGAACTCTATTTAAATTCTGTCTAATGCTATAGTAAATGGAGTATACAGCACTCAAAACAACAGTGAAATGAAATGAAATGAAATGAAATGAAAATGAAATGAAATGAAAATATCTTTATTCAAGTAGGCTATTACAAGCACTTTTGAATCGTCCAAAAAACTTTTTTCCCCTACCACTTGTTCAGGACGTCTTTTAGCTGACAAGAAGAACAAGCGAAAGAAACTTATCAGCTTTTTGTCATAAGTAATGACATTTACATAAATCATGTCATTACCAAAATAATATGTATTATCAATTTATCACAATAGTAAATACAACTTTCAAAGTCTGTAGGACATAAGTTGAACATATAATTAGTCTTTATAGAACAAAGCGAAGGCTTTTAATTCCATGCATTGCGATCCTTAAAATAATCATCAACTTTATAATAGCCTTTACTCACAAGTATATTCTTTACATGAATTTGAAATTTATTTATGGGTAGGTCAATTACATTTTGTGGACTATTGACTTTTGAGTCTATTGACGTTAATAACAAATTTTGCATTGAATAGATTCTTGAAAGCATTGAACGGATTTTATATATTCTTTCACCTACAGAAATACATGATATACTGTTATAATAAAATACATATTGAAAGCAGAAAGATTTAGTAATTTAAAATAAAAGACATAAAATTTTGCAAATAAAAAAAATGTGCTATATAACTTTTCGAAGTTTGAATGTGAGAAGACTACAATCAATTTAAATGTCAATACAAAAAAAAACAAAAAGCAGCCATTGATATTGTAACAAAAACTACAAAGGCGAATCATATGGGAAAAGAATACAATGGGAATTACATGACGCACTGACCAGAAGTCGCCGGGTTGACTGATCATCGGTATCACGTACCACGCACGTGTCTATGACACTCGAAATAATGAAACCAGCGCAAGAGGAACATGATGAATTGAAGACGTTCAACATGGAATAGACGTTAATGACGAGGTAATCTATTAACAAATGACAGAGACAATGAAGGATTCAAATAAAAGCATAGATAAGGTGAACGTTTTATTGAAAGTGACATTTATATCCTACTAGCTTTCGCCAGCGGCTTCGCCTGCGTGGACCCTAGGGAAATGTTTAGTGGGATAAAAAGTATCCTATTATCTAAGCCAGCTAATACCCTATCTGTATACCACATTTCATCAAAATCCGTACAGTAGATTCGGCGTGATTGACACACAAACATCCAAACAAAGAAACTTTCACATTTATAATATCAATAGGATACAAATATACAGAACAGCCCAATTTATCTTCTTGAATTTGTTTCATCAGATTCTCATACTACAATACCCAAGACCTGAACACCACATATATATATATACATTTGACTAATCGTTCTACCACAAAAAGCTATTATAAGGCGAACAGTCATTAGTGACATCATCGTTTGAAGAGGAAAATTGCTACAATTTGGATAAAGAATTAATGGCAAAGACGCAAAATCGTTTGAAAATTCTACCTAGCGTTATAAAACCACTTGACGTATAAAACATACATAAGTTTCATAGAGAATAAAGAAGCTTCAAAGATGCCATTTCAAAAGATGCAAATTGAGCTCATGTAACGCGTTAGTAACATCATATCTTTTGTAAAATAAAATTACTTATAAACACTATTCAGTGTGATACGTGACCTGCAAAGATTCTGAAACAATTTAAAACTAAAATATTTTATAAAATAACCATTTTTAAGTACTTAGTTTAATTTCATGAGAAGTGCGGATGAAAATATTAGAATCAAGTATCTTCTGTATCTATTAGAGTCGACTGACTTGCGATCAACGTAGAGGCCAAATAATTGGGTCTTGGAATTTGACAAAAAGCACGGTTGCGGGTAAAGTGAGTGCTAAAACTGGGGGGGTTACAAATTTCTCTAGCAACTTAAACTGGGTTCATTAGTTTGTAATGGAAATTACTCGTATATAAAATACATATCGGTTACGTTTTGTAATATTGAACAAGGCAAACATTATGTATATGTATTGAATCAGTCTCGAGTGTCAGATAGGCAACAAAGCAGATAGTAACTTTTGATAATTAATGAACATGACAAAAGTTTCGACAGAGAAATATTATAGGAACGCGAATTAATCACCGTTTCAAACAAACGCGAACATTGTAGACACGACACACAACCTTCACGGACTGTCGCTACAATTATAGAAGGTGGATGCCTTAATACCAATGACCGGAAGGGAGGCGGGAAGGAAATCCGAGTTTACGCAAAATTCCAAGGAATACTGTTTACTATTTGTGATTTATAGACAAATATTATTACCAACGAAATTACGGCAGAGGAAGAAATGATTAGGAGGGTGAAGATGTTCAATGTTGTATATATTAACTGAACTAT